ATGCATTGTCTACACGAAATGTGGACAGAAGCATGGTAAAGAAAATCAAAACCCGATAGAACGAGCTACCTGGCTGCAAAACTAAAAATTTATATGCAAAGCGGTAGGTCGGAAGATCATAACATTCCTATTGGCACTTGATAGAAAATACTTTAGGAACATGATCGAAATACTAACTGGTTACGCCCGCAGAATGTGACTGACATATCGAAATGTCTACACTGAAGCACCAGGGAAACAATGGATCACCTCTTGTGCGCTTTCCCCGTATTGCCAAGATTTCGCTGTAAAATCTGGGGCCCCTACGTTATGATGCACTGAACTATTCATTGTTATTGATAAGGAGGCCGCAGAGTCTGTTGAAATTCGCGTCAAGCGCAGGCATTCTAAAGGATGACTACTTGTTTTAGATCTAGAAACTGAGCCCCATTTATCGCAAACGACCAAAACTGGCTTATTAGCCTACTAAATTAACCCGACCTAACCTTTAGCACAACTTTGTTGTATGGCTCCATCGCAATAATTCTCAACTATGTAATCAATGTTTAGTTTAATTATAACAAATGTCAGCTCCGAAAATCATGGCTAATAACACGGCTTTGCAACAATGAATGTACCAATCGAGAAACAACTGAAAATCCACAACTAATTTTTCTGGCCACAAAAACAAATCGAGTGCAAAGCAGCTGGAGCACTTGCAATTGCCGAAATGATGTTTAATCCTTAAGAAAAGTAAACCAAATTGTCAAACGATGAAATTGATTTGAATTCGCAAAGATCATATTCGGATGGCCCTTAGTTAGATTCACAGATTTGTTTGAAATATTTTTTCGWCTTTTTATCAAGACTTCTTTGGTATGTCACCTGGTATGTAGCAAAGACAGATCAGTAGCCCAAAAATTTATCAAAATTTACTGATRAAAGAAACTACRTTTGCAAGTATTTTATACGAATYATTTTAATTTTTTTTTWWAWAAARATTTCGGAGATAATGTGATTATTTGATTTCTCAAATTTAAAATATACTTTCAAKTCTTTGCTTAATGGCTTTCAGAGCCTTCAGTGAATTGGACCGCCTTCGTTAGGTTTTCAAACAGTTTCAACGTTACGTTCATAAATCCACGTCTCGTCGTAGTTGCTCTTTTGAGACCTCTACTCGATCTGGTGTTTAMAAGAGATTTAAGTCTTTTCTAACGAAACTAATATTGACACGATTCATATCCGAAATATTAACTAAATTGGGCTCAGTCGATCCACAAGCGACAGAGGATCTATTATCTCCTGAGACAATCTCTGCCGTGGACGATTTTCAAGTACTGTTTCTTCGATGTTAACGCCATTTACAGACATGGAAGGACGACTCACACGAGACAWGTTTTCGATGATCTCAKGACCTTTACTGAATGCTTTCTTTACTAGTGGGACATAATAGCAAAATCAGGTATTTCTTCTCTGGTTTATTTTGCGATCTTTTTATACCAATTTKCTTTAATCTCATTTCCACAAGGGATAGACATATTTCTCTTGATGTTTGATAGAATGTTTTGTACTCCTTATTGAACACAAAGAATATTGATAAAGAGTTAAACAAAATGCCAAATGCCATTAGTTGTTCTATGCAAAGTTCTGAAGGTATATTAGTTTTGTAAAACTAGCCATTTGAACTATACGGAACTGCCCCATGAAATATCATTAGCTTCAATGAGAATATCATAAAATTGCGCCAGTCGTTTGTTAAGAATGGTCAGACTTATTCCAAAAAAACAAAACAAAAAAAAAAAAACAAAAGCCCGATCTAAAATCTGGTTTCTACTTATGTCCAGGATCATAAGAAAAAGTAAGTAGACTCGTAAAGCATACGGCCTTAGAACTTTCTGAGCTCCTATATATTGATTGCTCTTAAAAATTGTGTTCACAYTTGAAATTAGTTAAAAAATCCGACTGCCAGTTAAAGTTTTGCAATTCCGAATGAGGTCTGAAATAACAAACCTCTTTGAATATGATCACTTTGTGATCTTATAAAGAAACAGCAAAGAGATGTATGAGAAAAATACTCCCAAAGAGAGGAGTAGCTTGGAAATTTAAGCTAAAGTAAACTRTTAACGGGCGATCCACGYAGAGGTACTTTTTTTTAATAGCTCTTCTTTGACAGACCCAACATTATCACCAGCCTTGAGACTCAGTAATGAATTGTATTATTGGCCGAATAAATCACGTCCAATACGCAGTGAAGAAAATATAGCAGACGTAGCTGAAAGTATGCACGAAAATCGTGGAGAGTCGATTTCATTTTAGTTTAACAAGACGGCGCCACTTYCCAMTCAACGCATCAATCAATTGATTTATYGAGAGAACACTTCGGTGAGCAGATAATTTCACGTTTTGGGTCGGTCACACACTGCTAGACTTTYCCTGCGATGATATGTAAAGTCKAAAGTTTATRCAGACCATCCCGCTTCGATTCAGGCTTTGGCGYAAAACATCACGCGTGTCATTCGCCTGTCMCCARTCGAAATGCTCGAACGAATCATCGAAAATTTTACTCAATGATAGATCATCTSAGACGTAGCTGCGGCCGATATGTGATAGAGATAATCTTTCAAAAATAAATGCCAAAGARTGTTCTTTCGAATGGCAATAAACATTCCCTATTACATTTAAAGTTTTCCAACTGCACTACATATATGAAAATTTTTATTAAAAATTTTCCCAATTTTAGTGCGCGAAATACCTRAACACATATAGGAGAACATAAATTTCAAAGCACAGTAATTTATATCACTTACACATTTAAACAATTATATTGTATTTCTAAGTAAATAAATATGTGTGAATGTATTCCGTTAATTAGGAAAACCGGCGAAAACGAGTGCCGAACTTCGATGTGTTAGTGGACATGTTTACACGCCGCATAGTTTTGTTTCCGAATTCACTTTTCAGTCATTCGATTTTCCACGAGCTATGCTTTCTCTAGGYATTCTTCCGTGTTTATATTTGAATTATTTCGCATGAGCATGTATGCCACCGCCAGTAGTCGTCAATGTGGCACGGACGCGATCATTTCGTTGCAAACGACTGTCGGTAAGGTGCAGTGCTTAATTTCCATTATTTCGGGGGTGTGTAAACAAATGAAAAWTTTTTCTAATTTGAATGGAAATTCAAAAGTGTTATAATTAATTGTTTTTTATTTTTTAATTTTGTTAGAAACATATAGTATGTATTTACAAATATTTTTATGAAAAAGAAAATGAAAATAAATAATAATTAAGTAATTTTTGAGGGTGATAAATCAACGCTGCAGTAATCTAAAAATAAATAAAAAGTAGTGGCTGGTGACACTTTTCATCACAGTAATTTACAAAGCAAAAAAAGTAAAAATACTACGGGGAGCACATCGCGTGCTTCGGTTTTTATATAGTTTTTTAATGATTACCTTTTTTGGTATTCTCTTTATGTTATTTTGAAAATTTTTTAGGCGAAACAGTGACCATCAAGATCTGCGTTGGTGAAGCATAAAATTGAGCTCTTAGTGGCGTGAGAACAAGAACAAAAAAATTAAAAAATAAAATAAGTGTGTAAATAA